ATTGGTTTGATTTTATCTATCCCAAACTCAATCATCGTAAGCAAATTAACCAAATAATTAGAAATTTGGACTAAAAATAAGTTGTGTAGAAGAAGGTCGGATTATGAATACTAATTGCAGCATTTTAGTCAAAGTTATACAAAGTAGAGTTCGCTCCGAGTAGAATAATGAAAATTCTTCGAAAACTACTGGTTTGCTTATCAATTAATTTTTTTTCTAGTTTTACACGTAATTCGCTTTGGCAAGTTTTTAATCATATACACTTAGTCTTAACCCTAGGAAAATAATAAATAACTTGTGCATATAATTATCAAGCTCTAGGGCAGATAAACAGATTACGGATACTGTATTCACGATAAAATGGTAATTTTAGCTGCACGTTATTTATTTATTTTTCATCTCATTAACTCTTCCAATTTGAATAGTTTTGAGGTATATAATTCACACGTTTAAAATATAACCTATGGTCAACGCCTAATAAATCTGATTTTTCAAGAAATCTCGAGGCATCCCATTCGGTGATTTCCCATGGCTTTCATATTTAAAATAGATGGACATAATAAACATTTGTAGAAAATTTAAATTGCCATTAAGAATATTTTGTGTAATTGGGGGACATGTTCGCGTGACATGATTACATTTCTAAAGACAATTCGGAGTATGCGTTCGCGCAACTTTGAGCAAACTTTCTTAATAAAAGGGGTTTTTCGGAGGTTATTAAATTATTTATTTCATATAACCCGAGATGTGCAGTTCACCATTTAATCATACAAGAGTGACGAATGTTCGTAATTTTATTTTAAGCACGCGCAATTTCGGCGATAAATTCATTTTTTTTATATAATAAAAAAAATATAAAAATACTATCAATCTTATTGTGTACACGTATGCGTGACACGATTCTTTACATTTATATAAAAAAAATACGAATATACGTATGCGTGATTCATTTCAAGATAGGTCTATAATTGTAAACAATCTAACCAAAAGCGGTAACAAAATCATGCAACATCATGGCAATAACTACTAGAAGTGGGAAGGTTTTACAAGGTGACATTGAGCAAGAGGTTGTTGGGAAAGAAGCCGAACAAGAAGTTGAAACAGAAGAGCAAGGGGTTGTTGAAGTTGAAAGGGTGCCGAAAAAAGAGAAGGTGCAAGAAGTGAACCAAGAAGGGGTGAAGGAAAATGAGAAGGAGACATCAAAAGGTCCACCTCCTATTCCTAGACCTCCTCCGCCTTTTCCTCAAAGACTTATTAGAAGGGTTGATGATAGAAAGCTTGAGAAATTCTATGATATTCTAAAGCAACTGTCGGTGAACATTCCATTCTTGGAGGCTTTTCAAGAAATGCCGGGGTTTTCCAAATATTTGAAGGATTTGATCACCAAAAAGAGGACCACAAAGAATGAGGTGTTAAACATGACTCACCGGGTTAGCTATATTATTGCCACAAACCCTGTCCAAAAGAAAGAGGACCCGGGAGCATTTACTATTCCATGCACTATCGGGGAGCGTGACTTTGAAAAAGCCCTTTGTGACAATGGGGCTAGCATCAACTTGATTCCACTTGCCATCTACAAGCAAGCGGGATTAGGGACGCCGAAGCCAACAAGCATGAGGTTACAAATGGCCGATCGGTCTATTAAGAGACCGGTGGGAATTGTTGATGCTGTGATTGTGAAAGTAGGAAAATTCCATTTGCCCGCCGACTTTGTAATTCTTGACTGTGCTGTTGGTAAAGAAATCCCTATCATCTTGGGGAGACCATTCCTAGCCACAGGAAGAGCACTCATAGATTCAGAGCGAAATGAAATTAAGTTCCGGGTGAATGATGAAGAAGTCACATTTCAAGAGAGCAAGGGTATGAAATTACCCCATGAGTATGAGAGCATTTCAGTGATAGATGTGGTTGATGAGGTTGAAGATGCCGTCGAATTGAAAATGGAAGAACAATGCCTTGGTGAGGCATTGGCGGCTATCTTGGTAAACTTTGATAGTGAGGACATGGATGGGTACATGGAGTCGGTAAATGCATTGGAGGGTCTTGGATCCTATACTTACACTCCGGCAAAGCTTTCTCTTGACTTGGAGAATAGGGCCACACCTCCCGCCAAGCCATCAATCATTGAGCCACCACAACTAGAGCTCAAGCCTCTCCCGCCGCACTTAAGGTATAAATTTCTTGGCTCTAATGATACTTTACCCGTAATCGTTTCGTCTTTACTAAATGATGTGCAGGTAAAACAATTGTTGGAAGTCTTGAAAGAACATAGGTAAGTCATTGGATGGACCATTGCGGACATTCGTGGAATCCCCGCGGGAATTTGTGAACATAAAATCCAATTGGAGAGCGAAACAAAGCCAAGTGTGGAACATCAAAGGCGGTTGAACCCGTCAATGCAAGAGGTAGTAAAGAAGGAGATTATCAAGTGGTTGGATGCCGGGGTAGTTTACCCCATTGCTGACAGTTCGTGGGTGAGCCCAGTACAATGTGTGCCAAAAAAGGGTGGCATGACCTTGATCGAAAATGAGAAAAATGAGCTTATTCCAACGCGAATTGTGACCGGATGGCGAGTTTGTATGGTCTATCACCCTTAAGGAGGGTATCAAAGGCAACCCTACCATGGTCAAGGGAAACAAAGCCAGTGGAGGCCAAACCCGCAAGGGCAAGGCAACCAACAATGGAGAAATGACCAAGGTAACTCGCATCAAGGAAATTTGAACAACAACAATAACTTTGCAAACCGGAGCTCCAACCCGTATGTTCTCCCAAAAGGTCATTATGCAAATCAAGGGTCGTCAAGTGAGTCAAAGTTAGAAAGCATGCTTGAAAGAGTATTGCAAAACCAAGAAAAGTCAGACGCGTCCATGAGAAACATGACCGAAGTTGTTGGCTCTCACACCGCATCTATCCAAAAGTTAGAGATGCAAATGAGAGACCTTTCAAGAGAGCAAAACCCAAAGCAAAAAGGACAACTTCCTAGTGATACCATTGCAAACCGGAAGAGTGGTGGAAGTGGATCAACTTCTCACGTCATGACAATAACTACTAGAAGTGGGAAGGTTTTACAATGTGACATTGAGCAAGAGGTTGTTGGGGAAGAAGCCGAACAAGAATTTGAAGTAGAAGAGCAAGGGGTTGTTGAAGTTAAAAGGGTGCCGAAAAAAGAGAAGGTGCAAGAAGTGAACCAAGAAGGGGTGAAGGAAAATGAGAAGGAGACATCAAAAGCTCCACCTCCTATTCCTAGACCTCCTCCGCGTTTTCCTCAAAGACTTATTAGAAGGGTTGATGATAGCAAGCTTGAGAAATTCTATGATATTCTAAAGCAATTGTCAGTGAACATTCCATTCTTGGAGGATTTTCAAGAAATGTCGGGGTTTGCCAAATATTTGAAGGATTTGATCACCAAAAAGAGGACCACAAAAAATGAGGTGGTACACATGACTCATGACTCACCGGGTTAGCTCTATTATTGCCACAAGCCCTGTCCAAAAGAAAGAGAACTCGGGAGCATTTACTATTCCATGCACTATCGGGTAGATTAACCTTGCAAAAGCCCTTTGTGACAATGGGGCTAGTATCAACTTGATGCCACTTGCCATCTACAAGCAAGCGGGATTAGGGATGCCGAGGCCAACAAGCATGAGGTTACAAATGGCCGATCGATCTATTAAGCGACCGGTAGGAATTGTTGATGATGTGATTGTGAAAGTAGGAAAATTCCATTTGCCCGCCGACTTTGTAATTCTTGACTGTGTTGTTGATAAAGAGATCCCTATAATCTTGGGGAGACCATTCCTAGACACGGGAAGAGCACTCACGGATTCGGAGCGAAATGAAATTAAGCTCCGGGTGAATGATGAAGAAGTCACATTTCAAGCGAGCAAGGGTATGAAATTACCCCATGAGTCTGAGAGCATTTCAGTGATAGATGTGGTTGATGAGGTTGAAGATGCCGTCTAATTGAAAATGGAAAAACAATGCCTTGGTGAGGCATTGGCGGCTATCTTGGTAAACTTTGATGGTGAGGACATGGATGGGTACATGGAGTCGGTAAATGCATTAGAGGGTCTTGGATCCTATACTTACACTCCGGCAAAGCTTTCTCTTGACTTGGAGAATAGGGCCACACCTCCCACCAAACCATCAATCATTGAGCCACCACAACTAGAGCTCAAGCCTCTCCCGCCGCACTTAAGGTATAAATTTTTTGGCTCTAATGATACTTTACTCGTAATCATTTCGTCTTTGCTAATTGATGTGCAGGTAAACCAATTGTTGGAAGTCTTGAAAGAACATAGGCAAGCCATTGTATGGACCATTGGGGACATTCGTGGAATCCCCGCGGGAATTTGTGAACATAAAATCCAATTGGAGAGCGAAACAAAGCCAAGTGTGGAACATCAAAGGCGGTTGAACCCATCAATGCAAGAGGTAGTAAAGAAGGAGATTATCAAGTGGTTGGATGCTGGAGTAGTTTATCCCATTGCTGACAGTTCGTGGGTGAGCCCAGTACAATATGTGCCAAAAAAGGGTGGCATGACCGTGATCGAAAATGAGAAGAATGAGCTCATTCCAACGCGAATTGTGACCGGATGGCAAGTTTGTATGGACTATCACCCTCAAGGAGGGTATCAAAGGCAACCCTACCATGGTCAAGGGCAACAAAGCCAGTGAAGGCCAAACCCGCAAGGGCAAGGCAACCAACAATGGAGATATGATCAAGGTAACTCGCATCAAGGAAATAGGAACAACAACAACAACTTTGCAAACCGGAGCTCCAGCCCGTATGTTCCCTCAAAATGTCATTATGCAAATCAAGGGTCGTCAAGTGAGTCAAAGTTAGAAAGCATGCTTGAAAGAGTATTGCAAAACCAAGAAAAGTTCTGACGCGTCCATGAGAAACATGACCGAAGTTGTTGGCTCTCACAACGCATCTATCCAAAAGTTAGAGATGCAAATGAGAGACTTTTCAAGAGAGCAAAACACAAAGCAAAAAGGACAACTTCCTAGTGATACCATTGCGAACCCGAAGAGTGGTGGAAGTGGCTTAACTTCTCACGTCATGGCAATAACTACTAGAAGTGGGAAGTCTTTACAAGGTGACATTGAGCAAGAGGTTGTTGGGGAAGAAGTCGAACAAGAAGTTGAAACATAAGAGCAAGAGGTTGTTGAAGTTGAAAGGGTTCCGGAAAAAGAGAAGGTGCAAGAAGTGAACCAAGAAAGGGTGAAGGAAAAGGAGAAGGATAAATCAAAAGCTCCACCTCCTATTCCTAGACCTCCTCCGCGTTTTCCTCAAAGACTTATTAGAAGGGTTGATGATAGCAAGCTTGAGAAATTCTATGATATTCTAAAGCAATTGTCGGTGAACATTCCATTCTTGGAGGCTTTTCAAGAAATGTCGGGGTTTGCCAAATATTTGAAGGATTTGATCACCAAAAAGAGGACCACAAAGAATGAGGTGGTAAACATGACTCACCAGGTTAGCTCTATTATTACCACAAGCTCTGTCCAAAAGAAAGAGGACCCGGGAGCATTTACTATTCCATGCACTATCGGGGAGCGTGACT